AAGAAGCCTACTTCACTGGGAAAATTCTAGAACCCCTTTTAGGTATTCCAATCAGCTATAGGATGAATATGGGTTTATAAACTTCCTGTAATTATATTTACTGATATTCTTTTCTATCCCACTTAATGCCTATTTTACAGTAGTAGGAAAGGGAAACCAATATCCACAAGACAATCAAGCACTTCAAACATTATTTCTCCTCTTTTACCCATTCAGATTACGCCTCAATCCCTGTATCACAGAACCCTGTTGTTCCAGGCTTGAGTATACATCACTATTTACCTCTGTCCCATTTAGCCCATGCAAACCTACCTAAGTGTTCCCCTATCTTCCTTGTTCTTTCACCTTCCTCCCCCTTCTTCCCTTTGGTTTTATTGGAGTGTTTTCAGTCACGTGTACTGTGTTAAGTCTTTAGTCAGTTATCTATACTAGAAAAAGTCGTCTTTGTGTGACATTTCTGTCTGCCTATAAGGGGAATTTTTAAATCCTCCATGTTAGTTTGGATTCCCTGAAAAACAGATGCCAACAAAGTATTAAATGTGAAAAAGATTTATTAGGGGAACTGTCTGAGAATGATAAAGAAGAGAAGTGGGGAGTGTCTGACACCTGGAAGGAGAAATAGGAAAGGAGAATTGGGGAGGAAGAGTCTTGGAAAGTTGGTCAGTGAGGAATCCTTGAAGCAAATCACAATCAGAGGAGTACGCCAGCAGTAATAGCCTACCAAGCTCAGTCACTCATTGAGAACGGCCCAGGGCAAGTGTAGTCTCAGCAAGAACACAGCAGTGGGGCCCAAGGGACACTAGCTAGGGTTTTCAGTCAATTCTGTTTCTTGCAGGAGATCTGATCAACACATTTCCATGGCCAATAAGGCATCATTTGTAGATACCAAAACTGACAGTTTGCAAGTTTCTTCTCTAATGTTTTATAAACAAAAATGCCATATATATTTTCATGATACAAAACTTTGTAAATTTGATGACTGCCATGAAACATATAATTATTAACAGAAGTGTTCCATTATCTTAATTCAAAAATTTATAAATTGTCTTTTCTGTATTACATATCATGAAGCTTAGTTTAGCCTAAAACAGAAGCAAGATTATAAAATACAAGAGAAATTTATGGTTTTAGAATGTTAACTTAGTAAAACCTTTGCTAATTTACACTAATTGAGTCCTGGTGTGGCGCTGTGGGTTAGTGTGCTGGACTGCAAAATTGGTTTGAACTGCTAAGTGGGCGGTTCACTAGTTGATCCTCAGAAGCCCTAAACAGGGTCACTCACTGTAGGTTGGAACCAACTCAATGACACTTAACAAAGTAACAATAGTAACTGCAACTAGAAGAACAAATACTGACTGGGAGACTGAGACTGACTAGTCCTAATTAGCACACTAGTTCGTTTCTGTGTAGAACACACTTTTGTAAAAGCTTATGTTCTTAAGCTTGTTGTTGTTAGGTGCAATCGAGTTGGTACTGACTCATAGCGACCTTATGCAGTGGAACGAAACACTGCCCAATCCTGGGCCTTAAACCAATCTTTTAATCTCCTTAAATAATATTATGCTCATAGTTCATATCACACCACTACCAGCCCATTGTATTCTGTCTTCCATATACTCTGCAAACCCTATTCCTAAGTAATTCAAGTGTAGCCTGGGGTCTGAAGGTCCAAAAGGGCCTAAAGCAAGAAATGCTTTAGGGGAGCCCAGCAGTTCTCATTTGCCCTTCATTCCAGATCTATAAACTGGACTGAATTTTTCCTGACCCAGTTCTCTGAAGGCCATAGGGCAGGAGCTTTTGAATCATCAAAACTGACCAGCTGGCCTATTCCATCCTCTCTTTTTCTCGTATTTGCCCTCTGACCTGAATTTTATGCTTCACAAACATGTATTTCAGCTCACCTATACAAATAATCAGAGTCCTGGAGTGGCACTGTGGGTTAATGTGCTGGACCACAAAGCCTGATTGAACCACAAGGTTGACAGTTCAAGCTCCTTGGAAACCCTATGCAGGGCTGCTATGGGTCAGAACCAACTTGACAGCAGCACTTAACAACAGCAATACAAATAATCATATTTGTCAAGTGGCAATTTTTTCTTCTTCTGTAGCTTAAAATTTCAATGGTTGATGGGAACAATTTCATTTCTAGTACACCTGATGCACCTCTGTAGTGCTCAGGCCAGGTAAATGTTATGTTCAGGTTGTATTCATATAAAATAATTCCACCTAAAATTTCTGAAAAAACCCCTGCAAAAATACATTTAAAATAATTTAAGGATAGGAAATACTTATTGATTGGAACACACTGCTCATTTAGTCTCCGTGTATTTAATCATAATTAATTTAATTCTCTCAATTACCCTATGATACTGAAGCACAGATAAACTAAGTAACTTAGCTAGGGTCACATAACCAGCAGAGCAGGATTTGAACCCAGATAATCGGGCTTCTAGTTTAAAAATGTTCTCAAATTTAATGCACTGTTTAACTCACATTTGAACAGTCAGGTAACTAGCACACAATAATGCAATCACCTAAAATAATTATTTTATTTATACTTGAATTTTACAAGCAACTGATTATGTGAAACTAAAAAATGGTGCAGTAAGCTTGCCACTTTAATCATTACTTCTATACCTCGATACATTTAAATTAACATGTGCTAAATTCAGAACGGGAGTCCTTGTGTGGCACTACAGGATAAGCACTGTACTGCTAACCATAGTCAACAGTTCAAACCCACCAGCTGCTTCTTGGAAACCCTACACAGGATCACTTTCAATTGGAACTTAATAACAAATCAGAACCAACTCAATTGCAATAGGTTTTTGGGTTTAATGTAGAAATATTTTCTCTTTCTCAAGCCATCATATATATTTTTAAAGCCATCATATATATTTTTAAATGCTTGTAGAAATCAGATGACTTCAAGGATGTAAAAAAATTAAGTAATCAC